TTTGGAATTTTATGCAAGTGTTGCTCTCACAAGAGTTTGTTACAGAAATATCAACATCCAAATACACATCGTTTGTTACTGCATGGAGGATGAACGGTAAATTATAATTATATGTTATTGTGCTTCTCAGCATGCAGACAGAGAAGAATGTCATGCACCATGTTCATGCTTTAAGTTTAAGTTTTGAAGGAACAGTTTAACATTTTGGGAAATGCACTTTCTTGCCGAGAGTTTGATGAGAAGACTGAAAGCTGATAGAGACAATTAGTGGTGTATATTGGATTATTTCTTGGAGTCACAGATCCCTGCAATAAAATAATTTAAACTACTTGATGTTTTTACACTTTTTTCCCATTCTTTATCCTAAGCTAAGCTAACTGGATACTGGCCTTAGATTCATATTCACTGTACAGAGTAGTATCAATCTTCTCATATAACTCTTAACAAGAAAGTTAATGAGCTTATTTCCCAAAGTGTCAAATTATTCCTTCAGTCCTGATATAGCTTTTAAAATTTGTAAACACCCTGATGAAGGCTAGCTTTAAAATAGAAACATAGTGGTTTCATTTATATTTCAGTAAATACATTTTAACTTGTTTATAGATTCAGAGCCTGAGATCTTTTTTTCTGCTTTCCAAAAATGTTTTGAAGCCTTGAATGGGTATGACACATCTCAAATTCTCTAATTTCATCATACTGCTCATGTTTCAGGATTTTGTTTATAATGTACTAAAAAAAGTGGGGGGGATTGCTTTTTTTTAAATAAATGTAGGTGGGTTTCAAAGGTATTTATTTGACATCTTAGCCCTGACAGGCAGAAGAATCATTGTTATTTTATTCACCCCTGTACATATAGGGGATGGACAAAATAACTAAAAAAACACTTTATGTAATGCAAAAATCACAGTAGTCCCACCTCTCTGATATAGTTTTAACAAAACAAAGGGAATATTGTGATGATGTATTGGATTGAATTGCATCGTACAGACGTTCCTCTCATTTTGTCCCCCTCCTGTGTTTCTGATCCACCAGGTCCATTTGTGTGGTTCTGAGCTGTCTTACAGATGGAGGTTGTGTCTTGCCGCTCCTGTGGGCCTTTTGTGACTCAACCAAGGACATTTCACCTCACTGCACCACCAGCTGCTACAAATGCAACTGAATGTTCTTCAGAGACTGTCAGAGTCCCAAAATGTTTTAGGAGGGACAAAGGGAGTTTTTGCTTTTAGTTGTAAGCTGATTTGAGAAGGCAAATCTGTGTTTTTACATACTTTTATTCATTGTGGACACAATCAGTCCGTTGAATGACATGAAATTACTTACAGTCAGAAAGTGAATAAAGAAGAGTAACTCCAAGGGGACTCATGATGTTCTCACGATAAAAAGTGTGACACTGAAAAGAGTCACTGATCATCTGTGGGCTTTGAGGCGGTGCGTTGTATGTTTCCAGTCAGTAATTAAGTGATAAAAAAATAACTTGAATCACAACAAATCTGAACATGCGGGAAAATACAATATGGTATAACATAAAACAGCAACGATAAAAACAAATCACACTGTACAATCAGCATAGCTCAGACCCAAGAGACCACATTATCCTCATTTTTTTTTGTCATCACAGTCTTGGCTCCTTCCTTGAGGTTCAGTGTTATAATGCAGCCCCAGGCAGACAGCGTCAGGATTGATCAGTGACTCAGTGTGTGCAGAGGATGACAGTGCCAACCTGGAACCAGGAGCGAGTAATTGTGCTAATTGTGTCTGTGTCTGACTTCAGTGCATGACTCTGGGAAATCAAACAGCACAAACCAGTTACCGTCACTGGTTAGTATTCTCTGGCTACGTACAAGGGACAGGTTGTCCCAGGACTCCCAGCAAGCTATCCCAAACAGTACTTAGGATCGTTTTTATTTAAGTCAGATCCAAAGCAGTAGATTTCAGTCATGTAGTGTATCCATTAAATAAAATAATTAATTAATTAAATAATTGCTGTAAAATACATGTTTCTTTAAATAAAATTAGTTATTGGGTATTTAATGGGTCTGAAATGGTTGACTGAAAGTAAATGGTTGCTTCCTCAGTGCTGTAGAATAAATGTTTAAAACCAGGCAGGATAAAATACTGTATGTTATGATCTACATGCTCTAATAACTCTAAAGGAGTAAGTGGAGCATGTAGATTAACATTAACAACTATCTATTTAGAAACCGACTGTGAGAGACTCAACACACCCTAAGAAAATTTATTTTGGGTCACTGCTCTTTTCCAAAGTCCTTGCAGCTACACTTACTGGAATACAATTTATCACAATTTGTGATTAGCAGTACAGTATAGCTGAAATATGTGAGGATGCACAATGTTGACTTTGGTTTTATCTGCTCATATAGGTGCACGTGATCTTCCAGGTGGATGTTGTTCTCTGGGGTACGGTGTGAGGATAAAACTGATCAGATACTGGCTGGCAACATGATTTATAAATGTACTGACAAATAGCCATCACAGAGGATGATGTAAAAGTCAAAATACTGGTGTATTAAAAAAAACAGACATGTAAAAATATGTGGCATCATTAATTTGCTTTTAAAATAATGTGCACACTTAACTTGCTGGGATTGTCCTTACTTGTTAAATGTGAGAGCTCCCTCTGCTGATGAGATCTGGGATCACAATGGAAAACAATCTTAGATCAGCACATGTAATTAAGAAAAAATCTGCCCACCTGTGATGAATTAAATAGGGGTAAAGGAAACTAAGAATAATCACTGAATGGTTGCAAAACACACTAAACACCACTCTAATGGCTGGTAAAGCATGAGGTGTGTACGAGAATGTGTGTATTTGTGCCCTGAGGTTGATCCACCTTTCTTATGTCGCTGTGGGTGGATAGGAGGGATGGAGGTGTGTGTGTGTGTTTGGGGGGGGATGCCCAGGCAAGGCAGGAGGCTGAAGCTGGGGTAGCCATGGAAACCATTGTATTTCCCTCTCATGTGATTGGTGCTGCTGGCATGAGCAAGTATCTGCTATTTCTACCATTATTCAACACCTCAGACAAGAGCGCAGTCACAGACAAGCACAAATGCACACAAAACACTTGAAGAACACAATCCTCCATTTCAGTCTTCAAAATGCCTCAGTAGTATCTATATGTTCACATTTTGGATTATAGCATAATAGCCTATATAAAAACTCTCAGTGTGTTATTTCTTGTTTTGTGTCAGTCGTCTTACTACACTGTACTACCAAAACACATTTTAGGGGGAAATGAATAGCTGATACTGTCTTTCTCCTACAGATCATATGATCGACCACACCCTCTCAACATGAACTAATCAGGGTTTGTGGAGCTGCACTTCCACTAATGAATGAATTCCTCAGGAAATGCACTGCATGAAAGAGAGATGTCACATACGGATGTGTGGCACAGCCCATTCAAGCAAATTCTGAAGGCGGAATACACAATTTTCAGAGCTTCAACTGAGACAAGAAAACCTAAAAATAAACCCATCACTGTACACTGGCTAACAAAGGGAACAGACACAGTAACATAGAGTTGACAGATATATCAGCCACAATTAGTGAAAGTATAATTCACAGAGAAAAAACAGAGGATGTGAGCAAGAGTAAGCAACAGTGGGCCAACCTGTTTACAAGTGTTTAATCCCAAAATAAAACACCCAAGCTAATGAAATATCACCTAAAATAAAAAAAGAAAGAAAAAAGACGCTCTCTAATCATCTCATGATATCCATAGATCTACTGTGAAAACTCCCAAACAACTTCATACCTCTCTCTTGTCTTCATAGTAGAGCCAAGATCGATCCAAACATTAATTAATTAGATGTTTCTGTCTGATATGACTTTTGATGCCAAATAGGTTGTGTATTGTAAGAAGAACAGGCGTAACAAGCTGCATAGCTTCAGCCTACACCTTTCTCGTCTGTAAAAAATCTTCTGTCTTGTGTTATAGGGTTGTTGTGTTGTTTGGTTAGACATACTTGCATATTTTCTTGTCTTTTTGGCAAAATTCCTATGTAATTATAAATTATATTATATATTATAGATAAAATTTCAAGATACCCCATATGTACAAATTGATGGATTGAGGTGTTATATACTTTTTAACTGAAATGAATTGCAAACAGCTCTTAAGCTTCATTCTTTCAGTCCTGACCTGAATATTTTAAAGCTTTACTATCTTGCAACTAACAATTATTTCTATTAATAATTAACATGTCAAATATTTATCATCTATGAGATATCCAAACACCCAGTTCTTTGAAACCAAAGTAACATTCAGCCTTGGTATAGCCACTTGCAGTCAGGAACCCAAAGATATTCTATGCAAAATAATATAAAACACAAACATCTGCTACTTTTGCTTGTTGTTATTCTTTTCTGCAGGTTGTCTAGCATTACTTTTTTTTTCTTGTGTGCTGGTTGTCTGACTGGAAATGTTTTTACTCTCCGGTCTCTTGATTTCAACTAGTCTACCTGATTAAATAATAACAGAACACCAATATTTGAGAAATGTCACCCAAATGGAGTTAAGACATCAACATCTGAAATGCACAATCCACTGGATCCTACATTTCACACTCCAGTGGTAAACAAACTCACTTCTCATTAATATTAACCACTGGGATTCTTTTCCTCTCTGCGAATCAATAATCCAGCCTCGTGAGAGGGCTTTTGCCGGATTGTGCATTGAAGGAGATCTTGGGGGGCTGAGCTTAAGGAGACACAGAATTGGATAAATTCTGATTTGGATTTTCTCTCCTAATTGTTGGCTACTTCTGCACCTGTTAGTGGGACCTGATGTGACCTGCGGTGACTGAGATCAGTTGGAAGTGGGAAAAGCAGAGACCACCCCTCCATGGGGAGCCCAGAGGAAGTAAGGCACTAAGACCCAGTGGAGAGCAGGGAGGCTGGTACTGCCTTCCCAACACGCCGCCTGCCTGTCTGCTCTGCACAGCACTGCAGTTGCCCTGGGTGCATGCTGTAGCCAGTACATGTGTGTATGAAAGTGTGTGAGGTAGAAAAGTGTGTGTGTGTGTGTGTGTGTGTGTGTGTGTTTGTGTGTGTGTGTGTGTGTGTGTGTGTGTGTGTGTGTGTGTCTAGTCTTTATCCATCGCAGGCTGGACGAAAAAAGAGCCCTCCACTCATTTTTTGTTTTTGTTTCTTCCATCTCCCGTCTGCTCCAGCTCTGCCTCTCCCACCTCGATCAAAGACCTAGAAGAGAGCTGAGAGAAGCAGGGTGTGTGTGTGTGTGTGTGTGTGTGTGTGTGTGTGTGTGTGTGTGTGTGTGTGTGTGTGTGTGTCTGTGTTTGAAGGGATGGAGAAGGGATGGAGAGGGGATGGAGAGGGGATGGGGGGGCAGTCAGCTTGGTTGGGTGGGAGGTGATAACAAGATGAAAGGGTCCAGGTGAGGAGGAGACACAGGAGCGACCCTCTCCTCTCTCCCCCATCTCTTCTGTGTGTGTGTGTGTGTGTGTGTGCGTGTGTGTTTGTGTGACGTGGTGTGTCAGTGTGTGTTTGCTGTGTGTGTTGGAGAGAGAGCAAAACACTCTGCTCTCCTTCAGTAGACCGTGAACCTGCGCTGGAGGAAGCAGCCCTCTCCAGACTGAGGTATGTCACCAACTTATCATCAACACACATCTCCACACATACCTGCACTGTTAGCAGAGTGTCAGGGGAGATGTGTGTGTTTTTGGGGTGGAAGTTAGGATGCTGGAAAGGTGGGACAAGGGTAAAATCTCTAGAGCCTGTACTTTCTTTCATCATGTCACACATCACATTATCTTTGTGTATCCATGTAAAAGGACATGATTTTTGGAAAGAGAAACCTTCTTTCATGTATGTTCATTTAAACCCCTGACTTGTATATTGCTGCTGAGGAGTGTTTTGAAACATACAATTCAACAACGGGCTAGTTTTCTACTCGCAGTAAATACCATGTCATGTGCATATTATAAGGTCATATGGTTCCCAGTCGGCAGACGGAGAGATTCTGCTGCAACCTTAGACTCTAGCTTTTTTTGAGAATTAGTTTGGAGCGTCTGAGGCAGAGCTTGATGATAAATACTACTAAATACTATGCTCATTGATTTGATTACATTAAACGGGAGACTGTGCTGCATGTAAGCCACTAGATCCATATTTTTCTCTTTATTTGCTTACTTGCTTGTTTGTGCAGTTTTGACTTGATAAACTTGACTTTAAAACAGCTTACAGGCAAGTTTTTTCCAATTTGGATGCTTTTAATTTGATTTTTTTGCGAAGTAAAAAGCTCTTTGAGGGACTGGAACATTTCACTTCAGGGAGTTGTGGTCCTTTGGAGGAAGAATTTAAATTATGGTGACACCACAGAGCAATGAAACAATCAATGATGATTAGGCTAAGAATCTCCTGAGGGCTGCTCCACAGATGTTGCTAGATCTTAGCTGAGCTATTGTTTATTGGTTAATTTTTAGGCTGAAGGTGACTGTAACACCTTGACCTATTCAACAAAGGCCACCTACTTATGCCTGCATCTTTCAGATGATTGTTGAGCTTGATGTGCGTAGGTGGGCAGGAAAAGAAGAGGCGCCTTGCAGGGATGAAGCCTGCAGCATATGTAAATGTACCAGAGGGTCAGTGTTCATTTCATGACAGTAAACACAGCACATGGCCTCTTTACTACTCCACTGGCCACGCAAACACTTATACTTAACTGCTGAAGGTGCACCATTCACATGAATTTTAGATAATAATTTACTATAGCTAAGTTTTGTTCAGAAGAGCGCTGTTAAGAATCAACAACTGAACAGTCATTCAGTCTTTCAAAATGTTTTTTCGTGTATATTAGAAACCCATTGGAAGCCTAACATTTTATATTTTTCATGTCATGATTTTACTAATGTGAAAAGTGTTTATCGATCTTTTCCTTCCCATTACTTCAGACAGCACGGAGCTCTGTAATGCTGAGTTTTGCAGTTTATTTATTTGCTCATCCAGTTTATTTCTTGACTCTGTTAAGGGGGACATATGGTCCACGCTGCACTTTTAGCTTCCCCTTAGGGCACTGGCTGCCCTGAAAACACACATCTAAGAATGCAGATGTCAAGTATGTAGCATATTACAGCCCTGGCTGCAAGAGAGTACAGACTACATCAAGTCTGATGGCTTTGCAGCTGTTGCACAAGAGTAATACATCTCACCATGCAAACTTCCGATAAGGATCAAAGCAACAGAAATAATGCCATGTTTTACAAATGACTACATTTAAAGCCAATTTCTGCATTTTGATATAAGTGACAAATATCAGATTGTTTGCAGGGTCCCCGGTTTTGTCTGCTTTGATTTGTCTTTAGATGAGTGGATAAAACAAGAGGATTATAGTGTCTGTATTTGCATTAACAGTATATTAGCTTGATGGATTTTCTCTCCATCATTTGCAGAATGTATTTATAGACTGAGCAAAATGATTTAGGGGAAGTTGTCTTATTTTCAGACTACAACCAGCAACCCTACATATTTCATCAATGTCTTTTTGCCCTTGTAAATGTAGTTTACTGACCCACATATATTGTATACCTTTCAAACTAGTATTAGAATAATAGTATTATTAGGCAGTGGTCATCATGAGCATGCTGTGAAATCAAAATCTTTACTTTCAAACACTGCCCACTATTAAACAGGACTATCTCTTTGTTTCAGATATTTCTAACTGAAGCTGATATAGGAGAGAGAAGGACACATTCTCCAAATTTACAAGGAATTAAGTGAAACCTCCAGTGATCATCTGCTGGGCTCCAGGCTAAAGTCTACAGGGGTCAGGGCCTGTACAGCCCCATGACAAACACTGCTGCCTGAGCCTCTCAGTGACACCCTATGACAGGGGAGGATGGGTGATGGGCCCGTGAAATTCAGCGGCCTCTCTCCTGCTTATCCCATCCTCTCATGGAGCATCCTGTTAGACCGAGCCCCTCCTGGAACACTTCTCTCTCTGGCCTCCCCACATTTCCAGCCTCACTACACCCAAATATCTCTAACGTGACACCGCCCATCACAAGTATCCGGGGTGGGGTCGATCTGAACCAGTCCTTGGCACTGTGTGCTATGCTCGTCATGGATGTGCTGGCAGTTGTGGGGAACTTGGCCGTGATGATTGTCATCACCAAAACGCCGCACCTGCGCAAGTTTGCCTTTGTGTTCCACCTCTGTCTGGTGGACCTGCTGGCAGCGCTGTTTTTGATGCCCTTGGGGATGCTGTCAGACCGAATCCTGGTGGACGAGGCTCTGTGCCGGAGCTACCTCTGCCTGAGTGTGTGTCTAGTGAGTGCTGCCATCCTCACCATATGTGCCATCAACGTGGAACGCTATTACTACATCGTCCACCCCATGCGTCATGAGGTCAAGATGACATTGGGGGTGGTGGTGATGGTACTAGTGGGAATCTGGATTAAAGCCATTGTCATGTCAGTGCTGCCTCTCCTAGGATGGCTGCTCCAGGGGAACCAGGTTCCGGGGGCTCCTTCGGTCATCATTCGTGGTCAGAGACACTGCTCCCTCCACTGGACGGGAGGCAGGACCATGCGGCTGCTTTTCATGGTCTTTTTTACATGCATCTATTTCCTGTGCCCTGTGCTGATCATTTTGGTGGTCTACTGCAACATGTTCAAGGTGGCGCGAGTTGCAGCCATGCAGCATGGCCCCCTTCCCACTTGGATGGACTTGCCGCGACAACGGTCCGAGTCCATCAGCAGCCACTCCACCATGGCAGCCAGCCTTGGGGGCACTGGCGCCCGCACCACCCCTCAAAGGACCTTCAGTGGCGGGAAGGCCGCAGTGGTCCTGGTGGCAGTGGGTGGCCAGTTCCTTTTCTGCTGGCTGCCATATTTTTCCTTCCATTTCTACTCGGCTGTTGTGTCTACCTCTCCTGCTTCGCTGGCCCAGCTCGAGGACGTGGTTACATGGATTGGCTATTTCTGCTTCACCTCCAACCCCTTCTTCTATGGCTGCCTAAACCGGCAGATTCGTGAGGAGCTGGGCCGCCACCTGGCTTGCCTCTTCAAGCGGGTCGGGCCCGGCGAAGGGGAGCAGCTGCCCAGCCGCGAGGCCTCTATTGAGGAGAACTTTATGCAGTTCCTTCAGGGCACTGGATGCAATCTGGAGCCCTGCAACTCGCACAGCAGAGTGAGCCTGGAGGAGTCAGAGACTGAGGGCCTTCAGGAATCAGCTGTTCAGCAGAACACGCCAGCTGACTTCCACATCCCAGGGCAGATCCTTGACGAAACCTCAGAGTTCATACAGCGGCAACAGCTGAACAATGAGCTACATGTATCAGAGAACTTTTTCAAAACTGTACCAGAACTGTAGCTGCCTCTCAAGTCTCTTTTGGCATCCAATAAATATGCTTAGTTGTATTCATATTTTCTCCAATTTGTTGAATTAATTAATTTCTTGTTCATGCTACAACAGTGCTTTTAAGCTAAAAATCCATTGAACTGCAAAGCATGGTATCTTCGTGGGAGAATTTAAATTATGTAGACCAACAGTCATGACGCTACCGCATTACATGTTTTAAGAGCCATACAGTGTCAGGCTGTTTCTGTGTGATGTTAGCAGATGGACAAGATAAACCCTTGTTGTGTTAATCACGGGTCAAGGCTGTGACAAACATCACATAAACATAAAGAAGTGCTAACACTCTGGGCGAGCAAAAACTTCAGGGGAACACAGTTATCACAGTTCAAGGAAGCCAAGAAGAAAATTTTTTAGTTTAGCATTCCTTTAAAGCTTAAGTCATTCGGCCCTCATTAAAAGTTGGGCTCTCCATCAGACATTAGAATCTGATTTACAGCATCAATGAGTCATAACACATCATGGGGATTACATCAAAAAATGATTAATTTAATTCAACTAGCGTTGAATGTTTCCTCATTTTTGTGTTTTAATACTTGAATCCCTTGACAATCATTTCAAATTGACTCAATGATACAAGCAGGTTCTCTATGACCAGATCTTTGATTTGATTAGTAATCAAACCATAAAAAAAAACTCCATCAAAGTGTAATTTTGTAGGACTTTCAATTGGAAGAAAAACAATGTGAGGAAAATGAGGAAGAGGTAAAAGTAAAGGTTGTCAGTTATTGAAGCTGTCCTTGCCAGCTGTTTGGAAGCTGTTTGTTTAGCCACTAAAGTAAAGATCTGTTTCCATCAAAGTGTATTTATTCTACTTTCACATCTCCTACCGCCAAGGACTTTATGCAAAATGTGTTGCTTTTCCATGTAGAAAAGAGTGAATATTCAGAGCCATTTAACACAAATGCCTTTCCTTTTGAAATATTCATTGTGTTTAAAAGGATCATATTTTACAGCTGGTGCTGCTGGTGGTATTTATAATAAACAGGCTGACACACCAGCGTATTTTTAACCATTTTCCAGGGACATTATTATCATGTTATCTGTTCTTAGTCTTGTGATTATCACCTCCTCACCAAAATCATCTCACATTGGTAGACTCGTGATTCAACCCCCTTCCACTCAAAGAAAAACATTGTGACTGGTTTAATTTGTGTGACAGCGATGGGTTTAAAGATTTAAGCTTTGCAAAAACATCGGCTACTGCACATGATGACTGTCAATTTGTTGAAATAAGGCGTGGATAAATTCAGACATGGCCCCCATTACCCCGAGATGTCGGTGCTGTTTACAGGTAAACACAGGAGAGGTGTGAGCACTCTTGTGTTTGTGCTATAAACAAGCAGGCTTGTTGTGGCTACTCAGCACACAGGTGAGACAATGCTTACACATGGCAAGCTTTGCCTGTGGCCTCATTTGGAAGACAGTGAAGATACTTTCTCCGATCTCAGGTGGAAACAGTTTGCACAAGTCACACAAGCAGTGACAAATGTTCCAAAGAAAATTACAAGGCACAATTCTCTTTTTATACTTGCTCTTTCTTGCTGCCTTCATTTATTTTGGACTGCCTCATACCGGGCTGTTGGCATGATCACAAGACACTGAACACAAGGCGTCCAGGGGAGGGTCATATTTTGCTGGGAGTCAGAACAAAAAAAAGGTCCCTTTGTCAGGGGGAGACATAGTGTTCTTAATTTTATTGCGATATGACTTTGTAGCGGATTCTTTTTCAGATGGGGTCATCATGTCATCTTGTTTTAAAGTGTTTTTTTGTGTCTGAAGATGGTGCAGAAATGTGAGGCCCAAATTTTAGTTACACAAAAAATCCAGTACAATTGTGACCACAAGACAAAATCACTGCCATAATCCTTAATGTTCTACAATATGCATGCATTTTTATTGTATTTTTATTAGTTATATCAACACTGCAACAGTTATTAAACTTTATGTAACAAAATAACATAAAACCACCTTGATTGATTACACCAGTGTTCTGGAACAATGGTTTAATCTCTTTCGATAATCTGAGATCTTACTCATTGAGCATTATTGATCATCTGCTCTTTAAAATGTTGTAATAAAGTCAGTAATATTTAACACAGACTGGGGTCATTACAAAGCCCCTTGTGCTGAGTGTACAACAATCCACCATTCCATTCAGCTGGATTTCTGTAGCAGCAAAATTGTCCCAACCAATCTGATTAAATGCTGTAAGCTCAGTGTCTGCTACCATCTGTTGATTACAAGGACGGAGAAATAAGCTGTTTTGAAGGTGAATGGCAGATAATATTCCCCGCTTTAGGAACATTCATAGACATTGTTTTTACAGTTTTTTCATGTCAAGACGTTCTTTTTCCTCTCTCTATCTTTTTGTACCTGAGCTGAAAAGACTGTTTTAATTCTTAATTATTGGGGTTTGTTTTCCCCTTGTAAAGATGTCCCTGCGCAGTAGTTACCCAAATGATTAAAGACACAGCAAGAATATTAACTAGAGTTTCGTGGTTGTTGTCGTAGTTTCCAGATATTTTAGGATCAATAACTGCATCTATCACATGATCAATCCCATCAACCATCTCTTTCTCTCCTGCCCTCCCAGTTGCCTCATGCTCTCTGCCTCTGTGTGTGTGTGTGTGTGTGTGTGTGTGTGTGGTGTTGGCGAGGGTGCACAGGGGGGGCAGGGATGCAGCGTCACAGAGGGGAAATGAGGCACTAAGAACAGGATGAAAGAGGAGTGACATTTGAAGGAAGGCAGAATGCTGAAGCTCGTCAGTAGGGGAGATGTTGTGAACGACACTGTAATGCTCAATTACTTACTAACACCTACCACCGCTGACCAGGCTCTGCATAATCCAATCCATACACTAAATGTCCAAAATATTCATTAAGTGCACTGATGAGGAACAATCCAAGCCATTATCCCTTAGTGATTTCAAATATGAATCTTAAATCTAGTGAAAAAATATAAATGTACAGTTGAGGAAATACAAGGAATAGAAGAATATTCATGTGCATTGTGCAAATAAATCCCCTTTGTCCCCTTTGTTTATAATGCACATCTAAAGCGTTTTTTGGAGGTAAAATTTCAATTTTAGCATAGTTGCAGTTGTTTTTCACAAGGAAAAAATCCAAACTCCACCATCAACAGCAACAGCAGCACCCAATTGGTTCATCGTATATTTTCTGATTACCCTGATTTTCTTTCTTGTGCTGCTCCCCATCAGACAGAGTGACTCATAGCTTTCATGTTTTGCAGCGGAGGGTGCCTCCCACAGCGCAGAGAAACAGTTCAAACAGCCTGACCTTTCTGACAGGCTACCACACGCCCAGGGAAAGTGCTCAAGCACAGATACCACCACTAGGTCCCTCTAGAGGGCCACTGGGTGCACTGCACAGTCATTCAGTGGATGGGTCGGGTGTGTTTCTTATAAACCAAACAGCTAAAGTGAGAGCTGTGATCATTTAAGGTGCAACAAATGGGTGTGCAGCTCCCAGAGCAGCAACTAAAATCAAAGAAAACATGTGCATCTGTGAATATGGGGACTGTCTGCAGGGAAAAGTCTTCCTCCCTGGATCAGAGATAAACTCAATCACATGAATTTCTCACTTCCAATTGGTGACTTCTGTCAGTGCTGAAGGGTTTGTTTGGCAGGAGGAGCAGAAGACTGGAGGTGATCAGGCTAAAGAAGCAAAGTTAGAGATTATATTTATACTAAAGACATAGTGTATTGTGGTTCCAAAAGGTGAGTGTCTGGGGACCTTCAAAGGGTTTCGATGAGTCTATAATGAGCTGTCACTAATAGTAATATGCCGTTTTTTAATAACTTTCCTGGTCCTGGAATTAAATGTCAAAATTTTTACTTATCTACATTTACTCTCTTTATGATATGATTGTGCCCCTTTCTATAAGGTATCCCTTATAAAGGGTTTATAAGTTGTAAGAAATGGCTTTAATAATGGTAAATAAAAAATGTACTAATGCTTTATAGTTCAGTTACAAGCATCAACAACAAGATCACATTTTTGGGTTGTGAAAATTCCCTTTTGTGTTATGCGACAGGACAGAACGGACCCAAACGCAACTCAGTGGGAAGGAGGTTTATTGAGAGATTACAGAGGGGCTAGAGAAGAGGAGATGGAGGTGAGGTGGACGCCGGGGGACGTGGACACAGAGGAACGAGGAGCAGGCGAGGATCAGGGGGAGCCGGGAGGGCGCCGTGGAGGAAGCCCGAGAGGAGAGGACCGGAGGACGAGCCTAGCCAACTGAACGGAGGACTAGGGAGAGTGAACCTGGGGTGGAAAGCAGAAAGACAGGGTTAAACACAGGAAATAACCAGGGGCTGGAAAACTGAGATCTCTTCTGGAGTTAATCGGAGCTTGAGCGAGGTTGGCACCAGGTTGGGAGCAACGATGATCAAGCGAAGATGGTGTGGAGAACCGGGGTTGATATACGGGCAGGGATGAGGTTGATTACTGGCAGGTGTGGCAGGCTGGGGAGGTTGCTGACGAGGTGCAGGTGCGGGTCGTTGGCTGGGCTCAGGAGCGGAGGGAGAGAGAGAGGAGGAGAACACAGGGAGGCAGGCAAAGTACAGGAGAGCAAAACAGTGGGAGAAATAAAACAAGAAAAAAAACCAAACAGGACACTCACCGTCAGCCGGGCTGTCCCCACAACATTTAGTTGCTTTTAAACCTTTCTATTTTGAGAAATTATACTCACAAATGTTGGTTAACTATGAAAGAAAAATGCTTAAAATGTTCGTCATGTAAGTACATTCGCTGTAAGTGTTCACACACAACGCGAGAAGGCGATTAGAACCCGCAAAAATTGGCTTGAGTTGGAAATGTTCAACTCATGCAAAGGCCTTTGCGTTGCCTTTGTTGTGATGGCAGCCCGGCTGTGTCTCCTCCCCTGTGTGTGCTCTCCCTCTCTCTCTCTCCCCACACCTGCACCTCATCAGCCACCTCCAGCCTGTATATCAAACCCCGTTCTCCACACAGTCGCCGCTTGATTGTTGTTGCTCCTAACCCGGTGCCACTACCTTACTCAAGCTCCTGAAAAGACCTGTAGAAATCTCTGTTTTCCAGTTCATAGTTTTCCCCTGTGACTAACCCAGTATGTCTGTTTACCTTCCCAGGTTCATTCACGTTCCCTTCCCTGGTCTCCTGTTCCCCACGGCTCCCTCACCTCTCCTCCTCCGCCTCACCAGCTCCTCTGTCCTCCGTGCCCACGTTCCCCTACCGTTACCTGGTGGACTGGGCTGGTTACGGCCCAGAGGACCCCTCCTGGATTCCCTCCAGCCAGATCCTTGACAAGACCCTCCTGACAGACTTCTACAGAGCCCATCCTGACAAGCCGGGAGGTCCGCCTGGGGGCGTCCGTTGAGGGGGGGCCCTGTTGTGGTGGCAGCCCGGCTTACAGTAAGTGTCCTGTTTTTTTTCTCATTTTGTTTGTTCCACCTTTCTGTTTTCCCTGTACTTTGCCTGCCTCCCTGTGTCTCCTCCCCTGTGTGAGGAGGTGGCGGTCCCCTCCGTACAGGCCCACCTCAGACGCTGCCGCCGGATCTCGAGGGAGGCCAGGGCCACTCTTCTACGCATCGCGGCCCGCAACCGTCAGTTGTCGGACTGCCACCATCCCCGGCTCCCACCTACCGGCCTGGACAGCAGGTCTGGCTCTCCTCCAGGGACCTCCCCTTGCAGACCTCTTCCAAGAAACTCACCCCCCAGTTCATTGGCCCCTACCCCATTGAGGCCATCATTAACCCCTCCGCTGTGCGACTGACCCTTCCGCCTCACCTGTCCACCCTGTATTCCATGTCTCCAGAGTCAAACCTTTCGCCACCAGCACCCACTCTGTACCAGTGGCAGCACCTTCCCCTCCACGTATGGTGGACGGTCACCTACACAGTGCATCGCCTCCTGGACGTGCGACGTAGAGGTTGGGGCTACCGTTACCTGGTGGACTGGGCTGGTTACGGCCCAGAGGACCCCTCCTGGATTCCCTCCAGCCAGATCCTTGACAAGACCCTCCTGACAGACTTCTACAGAGCCCATCCTGACAAGCCGGGAGGTCCGCCTGGGGGCGTCCGTTGAGGGGGGGCCCTGTTGTGGTGGCAGCCCGGCTTACAGTAAGTGTCCTGTTTTTTTTCTCATTTTGTTTGTTCCACCTTTCTGTTTTCCCTGTACTTTGCCTGCCTCCCTGTGTCTCCTCCCCTGTGTGTGATCTCCCTCTCTCCCCACTCCTGAGCCCAGCTGACAACCCACACCAACACCTCATCAGCCGCCTCCTCTGCCTGCCACACCTGCCAGCAATCACTCCATCTCAGCCTGTATATCAACCCCGGTTCTCCACACAGTCACCGCTTGATTTGCTCGTTGCTCCTAACCCGGTGCCACTACCTCACTCAAGCTCCTGAAAAGACCTGTAGAAATAGTTTTCCAGTTCTTAGTTTTCCCCTGTGACTAACGCAGGCTGTCTGTTTCCCTTCCCAGGTTCACTCACCTTCATCCTCCGTCCAGTCAGCTGGGCTCGTCCACCTGTCCTCTCCCCTCGGGCTTCCTCCACGGTGCTCCCCCGGCTCCCCCTGCTCCTCGCCAGTCCACCTGCCACCACACCGCTCCCTTCCCCGGTCTCCTGTTCCCCACAGCTCCCTCGCCTCTCCTCCTCCGCCTCACCAGCTCCTCGGTCCTCCGTGCCCACGTTCCCCGGCGTCCGCCTCACCTCCTTCTCCTCTTCCCCTGCCTCCCTGTTCCCCAAAATAAACCTAAACCTAAATCTTTAACTGAGTGTTGCGTTTGGGTCCGTTCTGTCCTGATTCATAACAGCCTTTGCGCCACCCGACAGGAAATCGCGGCTCTATGCGTCTTTGCATTGACTTGTATGTATACTCACCGCCCCGAACGCTCGCTTCGCTTTTGGTCTGAAAGCAAGGACTATACTGCTATGAAAACCGGCTTAGAAATGCTGGAGAGGGATAAAAACAATGCATGTTCTGAAAATACAATGACATTAAAGTCAATTTGTGGTTTCCTGGTATAAAAGGTTCCTTGCAGTGGTAACATGGTGTCACCTACATTTATTTTACCCACTTTTTAACTTGCAGAGGAATTTTCAGTAAATTCATAGTGGGCTTCTCATAGTGCGGGCCATGACATGAACTTCAATCATCTAGTCTTTTCAGAAAATGTCAGTGATTTTGTTCACCTTGCTACATATTTGCATCAAGATGATCGACTCAAAGTTGAGGTTCAGCCATGCTGCCACTAGATCCACTAAAAGTTCTAGGGTTGTAGCTTAATCAGGCCACTACAAACAAAAAATAGAAATTGAACTTTCACCTCTTGAAGTGTGTTGTAGCTGTGTCCAGGCACATTTTTAGGATCTTGAAACATTGGGGGCTTAGCCCAGCCTATAAAACTTCATATCTTCACATAATAATTGACTACACCCCCCCACCCCAAAGTTAAGTCTATAAAGTAGTAAAGCAACAGTAAACAGCCTCTACTTAATATGGCACAACAAAACTCACAACAACACTATTAACTGTCTCATTTTGATGTTGCTAAATTGTAATGTCATGTGTCAAATTATAATAATATAACAACAAAACTGCGGCAATATGAACCATGGGGTCTCGGGGTACTCCCACCAATTTCTACCTTTTCTGCATCAATTTATTTTGGAAATTATTTATGTAAAGGGACACACAAAATTCAGGTAGCAGGCAGGTGGCTGAAGTTTCACTGGTTGCTTTTAAATGACCCGAAGGCTGGCAATTCTGCCTTCAGATGTTATGACTGATTAATCGTTTGATCGTCCTTGTTGCTGAATTGTGGTGAATATTTTTGATATTTTATGACCTTGTAACTGATTATTTATTCCCATCTTAAATTTGAAATTGTACTACTGCCTGCCTTGGCCAGGACACTCTTGGAAAAATAGTTTTTCTGGTTTAATAAAGGTATAATAAAACAATTTAATACAGTCTAAAACTGTAACAGAATATGATGCAGAGCAGCTCTCCAGTTCTGGGTTGCTTTCAGATATGTTTCTCCTGTAGATCAACTTTTAATATCATCACTGCTGAATCAATACACATGCAGGTGTGACTGATTGAGGTAACCTCTTTAAATGTGCATGTGGCATCTTTTTACGTCATCAATAATAAATTAAATAATTTTAATTCAGTTATAAACTCCTGGACTTTAATAGCTCCTGTGTTTCAGCAGGTTTTCTGCTCGTTCAAAGTTCTGCACATTCAGAATCTAACTGGGATCTCTGACATTTCCAGAATAAAGGATATTTTGAGAGGTCAAACAGGATAAATCATCATAAACTTTGCAATCAATCTGCGGTCCACCTGCGTGCTACACTGTGTGGAAGGGATCCATACCACGGATTCTGCAACCTGTTTCACCACTACTATACATGGTAGTATGGGGATTTAATTCTTGCATGTTTTGTTGTGCAGGATCACAGCCCATGTGTCTACATAAGGAAAGGTCAAGATAGGCTATCAGAGTAAAAATGGACTGTCTATTGCATTAGACTAGGCAACTTGATGAGGGTTTTTTTTTTAAGTAGCCCATTAAATTAGTGATTTATTTTCATTCATAAAAACGTCTCAAAAACATCCCACTATTAATTAGCCTACATATAAACGGCAACAAGTTTTATAAACTGCAGCTTGGAAAAGATAACTGCGTCGCGCAAAACCTTTGCATTCCAGCAGCAACCTCTGTGAGGACCAGTCCAGTCAACACATGTATGGGCGCACATCATTTTAAAACAACACAGTAATTAGGCTGTCTGTCTTTCAATCTAGATTTAGTTAGTCTGGGCTAATGCAAGTTTCCCCTTCTGACAGAAGCAGAACCTCATTTGGGACTGTACTAGATGAGACAAGGAGGTGGAACAGGAATCTGACTGAAAACACTTAGGGACGTAGGTGTGACTTTGAACCTGGGGGAGATGCTGAAATCACTTAAATGCTCATTTCTAATAACTTTTGAAAACAGAATGTACTTATTATTGTGGCTAAAAGAGGGTATTTGCAGTAACAGAAGATGGAGAATAAAATAACTAGAACAAAACCAACTACATAAACTATGGAACAGCTGCTAGTTAATGTAGCTAGCCACAGCACAAATGTATTCAGTTCTCCTAATGTTAAACTTGTCTGTGATATTTCCTGTGTCTCACTTGGCCCTGAGTCTCCTTCCTCTCACATCTAGGAACGCAACAAAACAAAGAACTGTCTTCAATGCAAACTCTGATGACATGCTACAAGTAATTTTACTTTGTGAATTTTAGAACAAACTATACAGTATGTCTACTAGCTATCCATACAACTTCCAAGCTCATCCTCCTCAGTTATTTCTAATCCTCCTCCTGTGACCTCTGTCCTCTTCCTCTTAAAATACTGCAGGACATTTTGACCACTGTTACTTTTAAATTGTTTATGGACATGTATGTACACATACAGGACTTTCTAAGGTCAAGGATGGTCAGAGACAGGGGCAAAAAAGTGTCCCAGGAGTTTTTCCCTGGTTAGTCCACTCTCCAGACAAAGTATTTGTTGGGGCCCTGTGTCTTTAGAGAACTTTATTCCTGCATTCTTAAGAATTTTTTGCGAGTAGAATGTAGTGTAAATAACTTTATGAGCCAATACATTTGTGCGCCATGTGTAAAACCCAACAGGACTATTTTATCCACCATATTCTCTCTCTCTCTCTCTCTCTCTCTCTCTCTCTCTCTCTCTCTCTCTCTCTCTGTGCATCTCAAAAATAAATAACAGCTGGTAGCTGCTGATTGAAAGATTAGTTTCACCGGTGACATTCTGTTTATGGACTCACCTTCGGACATCGCAATAAAACAGTTACCAATGTGTATTAAAAAAAGGAAACAGGCTAATGTCCAAAGCCATGCTCTGTTCAACAACAGGACACTTTTAATATTTCTCAATCAATGCAGTGATCATCTGACATAGATCTTACAGTGTATAGGCTAGTCTTCATTTGCTCTGCAGAGACTGAAGACGCTTTTAATACGCTGTTAATTGAAGGTGAAAGTAGGCCTATTTCACTTGCCGGCTTGTGAAAGAGCGACGCAAGCTGCATTCCAACACGGTCAGCAGTGCCATGGTGCGCGCTCACTAGATTTCAGTTGTATTAGTAGAACAATAAAGCCTTAAACTGAAAAAATATTTGCCTTAATTTCTAAATGTTTGCATCTGCCCAGCTCTGTGACTGTGACAAGAGCCCGACCAGCGCTTTACTGCGTAACTGCGCGCACAGCCTGGATGAGCTCATTTCGGTTAACGAAGCAAAATGCAGATTACAGACTGGTTACGTTATGAAGGTATGAATGGAAAATATAGCGACATTAAAAGTACACTAGATGTACCCACCCCTGCTGCAGACATCATCACTACTGCCTTCAGCTAGAAGTAACAGCAGCACAAAAGAAAAGTCTGTAATATTGAGGCACTTTGCTGCACCGGCCTCGAGCAACTTCTGTTTTTTCTTCCTCAACATTTCTATAGGCTACATTTTGTCCGAGACTGATGTGGAGTGTGTGAGTGATTGACTGGTCACTTAGTAAACCGCCTCCTATATGAACCAGCTCCGAAATCGCCTGAGCCAGGAAGGCAATGCGAAATAAAGCTTTACATTAGGAAAGAGTTGGGGGACAAAACATAAATTGACTGAAATATGTATAATGCCTCCTATGCCTATCAGGTGATTAACCTCATCACAAATCCACACACGTTAATTTCAGCGCCTCTGATAAAGTGCAGCTCACAGCCGCTTCAGGTGGAGCAGAGAGGACAGACACAGAGCTACAGCTGTACCATCTTATTCTTCGGCTAATTTGCAGGAGAATAAATAATAACAATAATCTCTCTCTCGCTCCCGCACGAGTAACGTTAGTTAAGCCAGTAAACTTCAATTTTCGGCCTTTGTTTTTTTTAAATCCTTCTGAGATCCGGGGCTTTTCAATAAACATCCCAGGGCTAACGACGCCGCTGGCTGTGTCTGTTGTCGGGAAGCATTAAAGTGCAGATCCGTTAGATGCATAGACTTTAGCCTATATAAAAAGTTAGATGTAATCCACACCTGCAGTTCAGCTGTGAATGCACTGGGGGCGCTCTCACACCACAAGAAACTCTGCTGACTGTGAATGAATGTGAACTGTGGAAAGAAACGTGCATGCGTGGGTCTTCATGTTTGTTTTAAATTATATTAGCCTACCTCAGTTTACGACGGCTCGACTTGTGCTTAACTTTAAGCAACATTTAGGCTACGAAGACAGAATTAACATAGCTGGTAGTTTAGAGGTGACTACATTTCCCATCAGCCCTGTGATGCGCATCAATTTTCCTTTTTTCAGTGCAGTTTTCTTGGTTTGCAGCTGGATCAGCTGGATGAACGCGCGACTGCGCAGCAGTAATAGTTTTATGGCAGAAAAGCCGTGATTTTTATTGCGAATTTTTCTTTAAAACCCGCTGGATTAAGCGCCTGATTTGTCATCCAAATTACCACATTAAATTATTATTTTTTTCTTCTTTTCAAATGTTTATGTTCTTATGTGAGTCTAAACTACTAAGTTGGATAAAAACAATATTGTAAAACATCGATTCAGGGAGCCATTTCACTCAAAAACCCCTGTTTAATCACCTTTACAGACTGACGGGAGCGTGTGAGCGCAGCATCAGACTCGGTTTACAGTTGGACAGACGAGCCTCCAGTGCCAACGCCTTTTCCCCTTTCTCCGCTTCTCCTCG